CTCTGCAGTAGATTCAGGATGTAAGTTACAATGCTATTAATATTTGGACCTCATGACTGATAAACTCTAATTATATCAGAAGGCTCTGTAGCTGGTAGAGATGCCATATGGGCCCTTTGGTAATCTCCCATAAGAGAAACCCTGCTTATATCCGTAAGATTTTGGAGACAGGCCATGCCCTCTCTGTCAAATGCAATTTACCATTTGGAATACAGCTATGAGCTTGCTCTGATTGAAACTGAATGACTGAACCTGGAATGTCAAATGGCTATGCTCTCTGTTCTATGTTTTTCCCATTATGAACTGGGTAATAATTGAATCCACTGAACCATGAAATTGAATGTATACCCTAACATACTACTCTTAAATCAAAATGGCATGTATTGAAACTGGGCCCTAGCAGGTCTAGAAAGCACAGAAAAATGTGTAAGCAGGCAATTCAGATTTCCATGACACCTGTTCCCATTGCTTTGACATTGCTCCTTCAACTTTCCTTTACCAGTTATTTCCTTTACCAGTTACTAGACAATTCCCTTTACCAGTTAATGAAGGAGGAAAAACCTCAGGCCTGATTTTTGGATAGATCTGCATTGATTGTCAACATCAGCCCGAAGTGTACAGCTTCAGGCTGCATTAGAGCTTGAAAGATGTTAGTAAGGTGAACTCTTTCCAGTAGGTAGAACTTGAGGCAATACATATAGTTAGAAGGAGAGATGGCTTGAGATATGGATCTACACTAATTCAGAGAGCACTGCCTAAGAGTTTGGCGAGCTGGTCAGGCACTTGGAAATAATGGGTTTGAAAGGCTAATGATAAGAAGGTCCGAGGAAGATAAATTTAGATGAACCTTTCAAAATGGAATCAGTGTAGAGTTAATTATATTCCATGTAGATACTTAACAGAGAGCATCCTCTATAGAGTAGGTTCTCAATAGTCAGGTAAAGAAGATGGACCTTTACTGGATATCAGTCAACATTTTTCCATACTAATCATGGTGGTTGCTCAATGGGCCCACTGGCACAAATCCAACAATGTGGACTTTTCTTCACCAAGGTTGATCTGGCTACCACCCCTGGTGACTGCCAAACCTGCCAAAGTAGAGGCCAACACTGAGCTCCCAACAGGGCAATGCTCCCTGGGAGATGAGTTGGAGCTATAATAGATGCAATTGTTCTCACAGGGGTAGACACATATTCCAGACATAGATTTGCTTTTTTTTTTTTTTTTTTTTTGAGACAGAGCCTTGCTCTGTCGCCCAGGCTGGAGTGCAGTGGCCGGATCTCAGCTCACTGCAAGCTCTGCCTCCCGGGTTTACGCCATTCTCCTGCCTCAGCCTCCCGAGTAGCTGGGACTACAGGGGCCCGCCACCTCGGCCGGCTAGTTTTTTGTATTTTTTTAGTAGAGACGGGGTTTCACCGTGTTAGCCAGGATGGTCTCGATCTCTTGACCTCGTGATCCGCCCATCTTGGCCTCCCAAAGTGCTGGGATTACAGGCTTGAGCCACCGCGCCTGGCCATAGATTTGCTATTCTACCAAAAGTTCTTCTTGCAGTTGAAATGCAGTTGATACACAGCACGAATTATACATCAGAAGAGAGAGAGAGCCGATATACCTATAGCAATATGAATGTATCTTTAAGTCCCAGTGCTAAGTGAAAAAAAAGATGCAGAATGGCCTAATATCATTTCCATAATTAAAGATATGCATAAAAACCAGTAGTATATTTTTGGAAGAACACATAAAGATAAAAATACACTTTAAAAATTATAAAATAGTGGACTATTTTAAGGAGAGGGGAATGAGAATGGGGATAAAAAGAAGTCAGCCTAAGAGTAGGTCCATGAAAAAACTGAAGGATAATATGCATAAATTCATTAATATGATTATCCCAACAACTCTGTACCTAAGGTGAAAGACAAAGAGAGAGAGTGGAAAACCTTAAAAAAAATAAATAAATAAAACAAAAGAAGCCAAAGTTGAAAGACTTTTTTTTTTTTTTTGCCTCCTTTGGCATCCAGGACTCTGGCAGGTGACTTAGGTCAAATTACTAGACAATCTCATTCAGGTCTTTGAATCTTGAAAAAGTGGCATGAAGATGCATGACAGTTTAGAAATTATTCATAACGCAGTAGCATTGGCACTGAGAGTCCAATGGTGGCCAAGTTGACTGGTGCCAATGTCATTGGTGGCATCCTAACTAGACTACTCCTTGCTTGGGGTGTTCTGTTGCAAGAAATCCTTAATTTCAGACTGTTTTCTGACCCTAGATTTCAAGCTTTTTAGCTGATTCTGTACGCAACCCAGTCTCTATCTTATAATTTGTTTTCTGCTTAGGTTAGCCAGAGAAGATTTTTCTTTAAAACCAGTCAGACTTGGTGGTATCCCAAAGTCCTAATTGGGTTCTAGAATGCAAACAGCTTCATCATCTGGCCTTAAGACCCCTTCATTCTTGTGCATTCTAGATAAAGCCAGTGTTTCGATTACAGGCATGAGCCTTTGCCGACACAGCAGATAAAACTAGCATGACAGATTCTAGGAATAAGGTTTAGAGTGGCATTGAATGGAATGAACATTTTATTTGTGTTAACTCAGTATTTTTTGTATTGGCTTTCTCTTAGCCATTAAATTACTGTCCTTTAAATTTTACCTCAATATTGAAGAAAAATGTAGAGTTGTTAGAAAACATCTATTTTCTTGCTAGAAACAAGCAACAGATAATCAGTGCCACATTGCAATTTTCCTAAATAAAAACGTCATATATTGAAACTGGGCCCTAGCAGATCCAGAAAGCACAGACAAAATGTATAAGCAGCAATTCAGATTTCCATAATATCTGATCTCAAGAGAAAATTATCCATAATTTTATAATCCATATCAATGTTTTCATTCCAGGAAATTTTCTGTCCTTCCTGAGGGATCTCTAGGTATTACATGTTGCTAGAAAGAAGTTGTTTGTCATAATGAACCATTAAATGACCTGAGTAAAAAGTAATTAATGACTTTGAGGTGTCACTAATGTCCTGATGAGTATCTCACAAGCTGGACATCTGAAATTTTTCTTAAACCCATATGTAGGATACTGATTTCTATTATCCACATAGGGAACTAATATCTGGATTAGTCGTATTTTAGCCTGAGAACAAATGACTTCCTGGTCCTATTAATTAGTAAGGTTAATTACTACCAATTTATTATCAAATAAATTTATTTGCTATTACGAGTACTTTTACAACTCACTGTTTAGCCTTATAAACTACTGGGCCCATCCACCCCACCTCCATGATTATACTTGTGTATAGCAGCAACAAATAGGACATATTTTCACATGTGGTTTTCCTTGTTTGAATTCTCAAAAATCTTATTCAAAGTAATAGGAAGAGATTCACTACAATATTTCCCAGTAAAATTTAATCCACAAAAATACAGACTCTCAAACCAATTCAAAGGGTTTTACTATTGTAGTTTTAACATTTCACAGTCTCATTATAAGACTATCACATGGTGAGTATGGAGATTAGCATGAAGACAGAGACCCAGTGTATGAGCTCCCTATAAGACTGGGATTTCAAATGAATCTCTTTTAACCAGACTGATACTACTAGCAAAAGTTTATACAATACTTATTTTAATTAAAAACTTCAACCTGACTGTTCAAGTTTTCTAGGCCATAACCTGTTTCTTCCAAAACAAATAGAAACCATGTTAAGACTTCTTAACAGTATTCATATTTTCAGAGAATCTGACTAGATATTTATTAATGAAATAATTTTACTGGTTAAGTCATCATTTCATTTTTTTTTAAACAAATGAGAATTCATTGTAGTGAAAAAGAATATTAATTTGCATTTAAGTTTAGGCATAGCACCATACTAGATTTGAATAAACAACAGAATTGACTTATTACCTAAGAAAAGAACAACAAATCAATAGGTAACCATATCCAAATAGCAGAAATTTAAAAGGGTAAGTTTTACTGTATTCTTAAAAGTATGTGGTTAATTTTTCTAATTCTTCTAATGTTTAAAGTAAAAACAACCTGGGGCAAAAATGTCTCAATTAGGATGACATTAGGGAAGGAAAGCGGGAAAATGGCTAAGCCAAGACAAAAATATGATTTTTAAATTTCAAATTAAATTTTAAATTCAAATAAATGAGATAGAAATCTGCATAAAAATAAAAGTGAATCTACATGATTGCATTACTTTTTTTTCCCAAAATAATCATGGTGGTTGCTCAATGAGTCCACTGGCACAAATCCAACAATGTGGACTTTTCTTCACCAAGGCTGATTTGGCTGCCACCCCTGGTGACTGCTAAACTTGCTAAAAGTAGATGCTGACACTGAGCTCCCAACACAGCAATGCTCCTTAAGGGATCAGTTCAAACTAGCTGTGATTGTCCTCACAGGGGTAGACACATATTCTAGACATGGGTTTGCTATTCTACCAAAAGTTCTTCTGGTAGTTGAAATGCAGTTAATATACAGCATGAAGAATTATGCATCAGAAGACAGATAGCTGATGGACCTATTGCAATGAATGAATTAGATGAACACGGAGAAAATATTCACACAATTCTTGTAAAATACTGAGGCTATAAAAGTAAAGGGAAAATTATTTTTCACAGAACCTACCTTGAGTTACTGCCAAGACCTAAATGTTCCAAAGGTGGCTTAAAACATTTGATGAACTCAAAGTACAGCCAGGTTGTGTAGTCCTTAAGTTTTTGCTTCTTTATAATTCTTCTTTAACAGCTTTTATATTTTTAAAATGGCATGAATTATTAACACTATGAGTTACTAGATATAAAATACTGAAGAGAATGTACCTGTTGACAGTTCCTGGAAATCCTAAATACAACTGCATAATAGCTATTAGAGAAATGAATTGGCTTAATCTGAGCCAATGCCAAAGCTAAAATAGATAGCCAAAATATCTATGGTCTAGCAAGGAGACACATGCATAAGAAATAATGAGCAAAGAGATACCCATACTACTCACAGGAAGTCCCTGTTTTCCTGGTGGCCCAACTTTTCCAGGGTTTCCCGAAATGCCATCTGCTCCATGGTATCCTTGTATGCCTTTTGGTCCAGGTAGGCCTTGAAGTCCCTTGATAATTAAAAATTATTTGGATGAAAAGATGCTGAAAAGATGTTAAGATGACAAATACTTTTTTATTTATTGAGTTGGAGAAGTTTACATTTTAATATTCTGTTCTAGGACAAATTTTCCTGTTTCCTGGATTCCTTAATGATTTAATATTTGGATTCAACAGATAACTTTAAAAGTTTAAAAGCCTTTAAAAGTTCCCCAAACAAAAATGCCAAGCTAATCAACAATTTACTGTGTAACTTTTTGGGCCTTAGTGTAATTCTCTGGTGTTTCTTATTGTGTCAACCAATATTTTATATAATTGTGGAGAAAAGATCAGCTATATGCACCTGTCATCTTAGGACAGAGGCTATCATTTCCCATCTGCCAAACCTTATATTGTGTTATTTTCCCGAGAAATAAATTATGGCTAATTAGTTGCCACTTTGAATCAGATAATTGTATGACTGAAGCAAGGTCTGAACATTTTGTTTCTACCCTTGGGCAACTGAATTTCATATTCAAGGATCTCTGATCTGAATGTGCTTATAATTTACATTCATTTTCTCTATTTTTTTTCAAGCCAATACAGGTCACCCAAAGCAGGCATCTAATCCTTGGCTAGGGGACACCAGTAGAAGTCTTTGCTGAAGAGCCAGTCAACACTTATCTGCCTGGCTAGGAGAGAAAACTGATGGTGAGGTAAAAGTTAATCTTTGTCTGTGATAAAAAGATTATTATTTTTCTAAGACTTTTTATTTGTCTAGAGAATGAGAGGCTGAGTCCTCTAATTAAAATCTACCTCATACCATTTTAATTATGCTTGAAGATCTCTGGTCTTTGTCACCATTCATTTCATTATGATTTTAAGTTCCGTTTCTCAGTGGTTCACCGTCAGAAGCATGAGTCCACCGGGAGGGCTTCATAACACAGGAAAATAGCATCCTTCAACTGAAGGGACTTATATTTAAACAGCAAGCTTGGTTTCGAGTTAATGGTCATATTTGTTCCCTCTGTGTTCCAGCATGGGTTTAAATTGTTTTTAAGACAATCTGATTTATCCAACATGATGACATAATTGGCCCCTAACTTTTCTGCTTGCTAAAGTTGCCAGTTCTATTTAGAAAAGCAAGAAAGATGAAAGAGGCCTGTTACTTACAGGAATCCCAGCTTTCCCAGAAGGACCAGGAGCTCCTTTTTTCCCCTTATGACCCTAAAAATGGAAAGCACAGTTGTCAATTGACTGTACTAAACTTACTTAAACTGAAGCCATAGAAAAGAACACTGAGATCTGGATGCTGCAGCAAGAACTAGCACGAACTAGTCGTATATCATTGAGATTGCCATTTAATTTTCCTGGGAGTCAGCTGCTTCATCTGAAAATGAGAACCTTTGACAAGATCATCTAGCAATTTCCTTGTAGCTCTAAATTATATGATTTAAGAATTTAAATTGTACTTCTAAAAGGGACCTGAATACATTATTTAATCAATGTCCCTACTTTCAGGAAGGGCCTTGATCTCCTTTTGAAAATGCTACATATTTACTTAAACATTTAGTATCAGTAAACGTTATCAGTAAACATTTACTGAGTATCATGTATCAGGGACTCTGTCACGTGCTTGGAAGGCAAAGGCAAAGTTCCTCCTTGCAAGACACTTACGATGTGGTAAGAGGAACATGAACTGATAGCCTAAAATGAGCTTCTCTGGAAGAACAGAGAAGAGCATGCTTGTGATTCAAGGAAAAGATATTTATTTCCCACGGAACTGTTTGCTTTTCCATGTGTGAGATGTTTTAAATCACAATTGATTCAGCAGTAATGGGTCTGCCAGGATAGTTAGGAACATTGCTCTTACAAATCACGCCATTGTTCTGATGACATTCTGAAAGTATTTAAAGAAGAAAATGTGGAAAAGAGTGACTTGGTTCACAAATAAGAAAAAGAATCATGTTGTCATTACCAGACACATTTCTCAGAAATCATCATCAGTTCTCACAAACAGGATAATCCCACTAAAATGGGATGTTAAATCATTCAATTTTGAAGACAAATTGTGCTAAAGATTCAGTTTAACAATAACAACAGAGAAACAACTTCAAAAGATGTTACTTTTTTTGACAACGAGCTTAAAGACTTTATGAAGAAATAGTATGTTTTCACAGAGAAAAAGAGCATCTTCTCTAAGAGATAAAAATCCAACTTTTGCAGGATTTGATAATGGGGAGACACAAGGATCATGGGTTGTACTTCCAACTTTGAAAACTATTGTACTTGTCTTAGAAGTCACTAATGCAAAATGTTTCTGAAGATGAGAAAACCAGAAAATGGGATAGTTGGTGACCTGGGTTTAATTAAAGTATATACATTTCTAGCGCATATGATCCCTATAAGTAAAATATGCTTTTCCTAACCCAATAAAAAAGCAAAATAAACAAAGACTATTTTAAATAGTGGAAAAAAGTTGTGATTTCAGTCATCTTGAATAATACTTATTAAATAGCATATGAACCATAATATGCAATTATGTTAATCAGTGTGTTTTTTCCTTTACAGTATTTCTTTTTATGCAACGAGATATATCTGTTCTATACTTTTGATTTGTCAAAACAGACTTTTCCTTGGCTTTTGAATTTCAAAATAGTCCGACGAAACTCATGGTGGGGGTAACAGTTGGAAAAAAACATATTTTCAGTTTCAAAATCATGTTTTTTCAACACAAAAGCCTGACTCTTCAATATTAAAAGTCTATTTTTGAGTTAAAAACCAACGTTTGTTATAAAGGACTCAAATTATAAAATTTATGCTATAAAGAACATATTTAAAATAATAATAATAATAATAATAATAATAATGTAACAGAGAGTTTTTCCCATGAAAGGGGATAAGGATCCTCAAGTCAGGGAAAGGGAAAAGAAGAAGCAAAAGAGAAACAGGACTGTTAGACACTGACAGCAGTCTCTGAAAAGAGTCCCTTGCCCCTCATCCTGCCCTTGAGTCTTTTTCTTTCTCTTTTTTTTTTTTTTTTTTGAGACACCCAGGCTGGAGTGCAGTGGCTCGATCTCAGCTCATGGCAACCTCCACCTCCCAGGTTCAAGTGATTCTCCTGCCTCAGCCTCCCAAGTAGCTGGGATCACAGGCATGCACCACCACACCCAGCTAATCTTTCTATTTTTAGTAGAGACGGAGTTTCACCTTGTTGGCCAGGCTGGTCTCGAACTCCTAACCTCAGGTGATCTGCCTGCCTCGGCTTCCCAAAGTGCTGGAATTACAGGCACGAGCCACCGTGCCTGGCCTGACCTTGAGTCTTTCTTAGGGTAGATAGAAACACTAATGCTTCCAGACAAGTTTGGGGATCTGGGCACAAAGATGATACCTAGGGAGACCAACGTCCTCATTGAGAAGTCTACATAAAGTATATAGAGTAAAAGTCTCTGCCTGAGATGTCTAGGACAGTGGGATTAAGAATGTTTTTCTGAGTCCTCCAAGTACCCTGTATGGTGTGGGGAGCAGATAATGTTATTTATATGTGGCCAAGAACAGAAGAAGATGGCCCTGAGAGGCCTGAGGAGGTCTTGGACCTGAGATGAACAAATAACTGCACATGCCAGCATAGGTCAAAGTACTTCTGGCAGGAGGGCCAAGGTAGATGCCAACATGGTGAGATGATAGCAACTGTGGGCCAAAAGGGATGATGTGCATTTCAGGGGACACTAGTGTGAACAGATGATGACTGAAGACTAAACATATTTTCCACTCGCCTTCCCTACCATCTGTAACTCTAAATTTGAGAAGAGAGTGAGTGGGGAAAACTCTAAATCAAATGTAGGATATTTGAGTGAATGGAGTTAAGGGCAGTTGATGGATTAGATTTACAGTACATATAAAACTGTACTTTCTTTTTGCCTGGCCAGCATTGAAAAATATGTATAGTGGCCCATTTGAAATCAGATCCATTTTAAAAGACTTCTGTTCATTGGGACTGTGCTGGCTCACAGAATACTAGAGAACGTAGTCTAATTATTTTGATGAGGGAAATATTTTTTAATATGCAACGTTAACACAAACTCTTGTTTTTTGTTTGTTTGTTTAAATGAGGCTGAAGGACAGTTATCTAGATACTTCACTAGTTCTAACACTCTTTAAGAAGGTAGCTTTATAAAGCAAAAATAGATTTAGAGAGTTAAGCAAAAATTATTCTCTCTTTTTTAACCAAGAAATTTCAATTCATTGAAATCTGGAATTTTGTTTTGGGAGAACAAAGATTTTGGCTTGAGTCTTGGTCTTTGAGAGTCATTATAGGACAGTTAACTCACATTCGCATTACAAAAGTTTTAAAAAATGGTTTTGCAATTGGTTTTGACTTGCTCTAAATTTTTCTTTATAGCTGCCCACAGTCTTATGCCCAATGAATGAATTGGTTGGTTAGGTTAAATTAATCATATTTTACTTAATTTTTAAAAGATTACAAGTAATAGGCTTCTGCATAATAACAGGAGCTAGGAAATAATGTTTCTAGTGTTGCTTCTGTTGCTAATTAGTTCTGTGATTTTAGGTAACTCATAATCTCTCTGAGATTTTAATTTCTTCATCTGAAAATTGAGAGGGTTATCCAGATAATTTTAAAGGACCATTTCCAAATCTAAAAAATAAATTTAAAGCTTTGCAAAAACAAGATGACAGCAATTGGACAGGACCCATCTGGCCACTGAAGGTATCCCTAGTGAATAATACACAGTCATTATTCTTGTAGCAATTAATACTATTTTAAATTCTAAGAGGCTTTTAAATGTGCCCTTGGGTTGTATGCCAGCATTACCCAAAGTAGGAAAGAACTAGCTCTCCTGGATTATACAGAATTTAAACTATGGCTTCTTAGCACCTTTTAGCTCCAACACACAGGGAGAGCTGACCACATAGGCTAGAGAGGCAGTTGACCAGTAAGAGTATTTGATATTCATTAGCATAATTTTAACATATACTAATAAGCATCAGAAAATGTCTTACTCCCGAGATTTCTCAAGATGGAAAAAGAAAGCCTGTAAATATGAAAGTATTAATTGTAAAAAAGTAGACATTTTAGGATCAAATGTTGGACAGAACTTGCATTCTTAGGCACTTACCACAAATGTAAGGAAGTAGCATGACAGCAGCAACAGTATTCTAGGTTCCCAGTGTTTTCCATGACTTTTTCCAATTTGGGTACTAAAAATTCTAAGTGAATGACTTACCTGTCTTCTTTCTCTGCTTTTTTTCCTTGTTTAGGCTTATCTTCAATAGGATATTTTTATTTATTAATATTATTTATTAGGGAACCTAACAGAAAGTTACTGAATAGATGCTAAGACTATTCAAAATGAGTTCTAGGTAAGTGAATGCCTATTTAACATATCTGATTCAACCCCATTTTATTACTTACTTCCATAAGTGGAAAACACAAGTATGGGTGAAGGCTGCTTAACAAATCAGGAGAAACACAATCTCAAAATCATTACTTTTTATCCATTCTCATCTAATTTATTATTAATAGTAGAGTGCATTTTCTTAAGAATTGAATTTGAAATCAATAGCATGTGAAGTCAGAATGCCTGAAAAACAGGGCAGCAATGTATAGAAGGTGCAAATGACAAAGTTGCTTGCTACGTAAGGTTGAGGCAATGTCTATCTGGCCACATGGAAAGGGAAGACTAAATTCAGTAAACCAACAGATTTTTAGTTTGCTTGATAAATATTTGATTTGCCTTATGAAGAAACAACTTTTAAATCAATTATAAGCCTGTGTCACATAGTCAAACTACTTTTTCCTCTCTTATCCTATGACAATGATTCTTTGCTTGGTCGAACTTTAGTCAGGCTCCTGAACCTTCTAGGCCCTCCGTGTACTTCCTTGTAAAATCCAGTTTTAGCAACGAACCCTGCCAAGTCGGTTTAGCAAGAACCTTCACCCTCATTATCTGATCACTCTTGCTATTTGATATCTAACTGGGTTCCTCATCCTCTACCATCCCTCAGTTGATGTCTGATTATCCCACAGTTGATGTGTGATCACCGTGGCCCGTCTTCAGCAAAATTCTTGTTAGGTCAGTTTAACCAAAATTCCCCTTGCCCCTGGTGTTTCCTCTTAAGTAATTTTCCATTCACTCATACTCAATCTGCTCCTTTGTTATAAATTCCTACTTGCCTATGCTATATTTGGTGTTGAGTCCAATCTCTCTTCTCCACTGCAAAATCCCATTGCAGTGGTCACTGTACCTATTGTAATAGTCCTGAACAAAGTCTTCCTTACCATGCTTTAACAATTATCCATTTAATGATTTTCTCTTTAATGCTTTCTACAACAATCATATAGGCTTGACTGATTTTTTTTTTTACCTTATAATACTAGTTTTAAGGTTTGTTGGTATTTCTGTTTGAAACCTCAAGAACATAGTATTAATTTGAGACAACTTAGGCAATTTTCACAAAGTCAGAATAGGCTTCTGGAAAAGAAAAATTTGGGTAGTAGTCAAAACAAATGACTCAATCAATAATTTTGTATTAGCACAATTATTGAAAAACACCCTATTTAGAGGCCCACAATGATCCATATTCTACAGTGATAAATGATAATTTGACTTACAATAAATAGCAACTCCTTGTGCTCCTGCTTTCTAAAATTGCTAACAATAAATCTCAAATTACCTTAAATAATTTCAACTTACTTCACATCCTCTCTCTCCTTTTAGTCCTTGTTCACCCTGGTCACCTGGCTCGCCCTTTAGTAGAAACCAAAATAAAAATCACATATGAAGCAGAGACCAAATAAGTTATATTAATGTTAATTTTTAGAAACAATGCTTTCAAAACATACTGGGGGCCCTTGTTGTCCAGTGGCACCTCTTAGTCCTGGTACGCCCACATGGCCCTACAAATAGAAAAGATTACATTATTAGAGTAAGTAGAGACATGTGACTTAAGAGAATAGGATACTCTCACTTAAAATGGTAGCAAAGTGTTGCAAAGCTCAACTTAAATGTCATAGAGATTATGAATCTTCTTAGAAATAGAAAAGAACATAATAGCTGTTGGATATGGTGACTGAGAACAACTTAGGGTTCTCTTTCCCTCCCTCCCTCCCTCTCTCTCTCTCTCTCTCTCTTTCTCTCTTTCTTTCTTTCTTGTGAATTAACGTGGCAGCTTGAATGGTGGCCTCCCAAATGTGTGTCTATGTCCTAATCCCCAGAACCTGTGAATGTGATCTCGTTTGGAGAGAGGGTCTTTGCAGATGTCATTAAGTTAAGGATCTCAAGATAAGATTATCCTGGATTATCCATGTGGGCCCTAAATCCGCTAAAGAGCATAAGTGACACAGAGGTACACTGAAACAGACAACAGAGGAGAAGGCCAGGTGAAGACACAGGCAGAGACTGGGGAGAGGCAGTCCTAGGAACGGACAGCCACCAGAAACTGGAGGAGGCAGGAGTGTGGCCCTAGAGCCTCTAGAGGGAGTGTGGCCCTGTTGATCCCTTGAGTTTGGATTTCTGGTCTCTAGAACTGAGAAAATTACATACCTATTGTTGTAAGCCACCCATTTTGTGGTAATTTGTTACAGCAGCCTCAGGAAACTAATATAGTCAATAACCAAAGGAACAGAGTTTGAGAATACATTTCTTTTTCAACCTCTTCCTCCTCTGAAAGTGTACTATGGTCTCCATTTTTACAAACTAAATTCACAGTTATTAGGACGGTAGATTTACTGGGCTGAAGACTGGGAGCAGTCACTGGGAAGTATTACTATAATACCAAGAAACACCACATGACTGACATTCGGCAATCCGTCATCACCTTAGTTCTCCTAAGAAGGAATGCTGGCCTACCACATTTCCCTTTTCAAGTGTGTAAACAGAAACTAGCAACAACCCAGAAGCGTGTCAGATGACAGTTACACAGGAAGAATTCTGCATGTAATCTCTTTTATCCCTTCTCCTACTGTTCTACTCAATCAGATTTCTTTCTTCCTATTTTCTGTATATTACAGAAAGAATGCCTTAGGAAAGAGTTATCAGTCCCATCTCCCGGGCTAGAAGATGAGATTGCATACATAGGTTAACAATATTTATTCTTACAGAAAAGTCAATTGAAGGCTTCTTTGTTTGCATTCTGAGGCAAATGTTTTTGGTTTAAGTGTCAACTTCCTCATAAAGGAAATGAAACCTGTTTAAGGAAGTGAACAGTGGCAAGAGAGAAAGGCTAGTCTGGAAAGCTTCTATATAGCACATGGCCACACTAAAGTAGAAACCACAATCACACATGACCCTTAGCAAAACATGAGCACAGCCAGCAATGAACAGAATCTGGCCAATCAAGGGGGAGTGTGGTGTAAGTAAATATGACTACTTGAAGGTCACTTATCAAACAGGATTCAGGAAAGAAGTGGCTGGTGAAAAGCTGGAGCTGAAGTGAGAGTGAGAATATGAGCAAACTACAAAACTCGAAACTATCATGCCAAATTATGGCTTTTCCACCATCCCTGTATGTAGTTTTACAGAAATATTTTCAGAATGATCATAGAATAGCCAACTGCCTCTCCTAGCTTTGTAAAGTATGAATGTAAATCTCACCAAGACAAACCCGCATTCTAAGAGTTTCATTAAAACTACTTTGGTCCATTCTATCACTCCAAAAATTGACTATGACCATTTTTTTGTAATTGTAAAAATTCAATATGCCATAGAAAATGTTATTACAAAATTATGCAGGAGAGGTTATGGAAAGTGATGAATTTGTCAGATAATATTAGTGGTGGGATGAGTTGAATGGCCAAAGGAACTTACGAAACATTTTATAAGGGAAATGGTAAGTTCAATCTTGAAGAATGAGTGTTCCGGGCAGTAAAGTGAGGACATTCTGGCAAGGAATAGCATGGCAAATAAAGGGATGCATCTGACAGAACATGTTAGACAGAAAATGGACCTGAGAGGGCTATGACTGGAGACAGGGAGTCTAGTTGGGAAGCTATTGAAATAATTTTGGCGAAAAATGATGAGAGCCTGAACTAAAGTAGGACAAAGTAGCTAGATCCCAGAAACATTTAAGAACCAAAAGAAGTGGCTGACTGTGAGAGATAAGTAGGGGTATGGGGAAGAAAAAGAGATTCATAGAGATAGAGTGAGTGAGAGAGAGAGAGAGAGAGAGATTGAGAGAGAGACAGACAGAGAGAGGGAGAAAGAGAGAGAAAGAGACGGGGGGGGAGAGAGAGAGAGAGAGAGAGAGAGAGAGAGAGACAGAGGATCCATCTACTGGCTTAGACATCTAAATGGCTGGTGATACTATTCACTGAACCAAGGACATAACAAGAGGAAGATCAGATCAAATTTGGAAAGGATGAGGTACAATGGTTTGGCACTTACTGAGTTTGAGGTGCCTGTGATGATGTCTAATAGCTATTTAGATATGTATGTCTGATGCTAAGGAGTAAAGACCAAGTTGGGATTTAGTTATTTTATTGTGTATAAAAATTCTATGACTATTGCCAACCTGCTCCCACTTACCCCGCAAAAAGAACTTTGAGATGCAATATAATTTATTCAAAGTATTTCTGGGACTTCATCTCTCCTAAGTTTAGCTTGAGTTAATCTTGGATATTTATGTTTCCATTTATACCTTTAAGTAAAATGTTTCCATTTATACCTTTAAAAAGTGGCTGTTGCCAGGATAATAAGTTTATTCCCTCCATGTCCTCTGGCTCTCAAGCCTCAAATAAATTTATCTTGATCTATGTGATGTATAGTTTTAGTTTGCAGGATGACAGCTATAATTGTTTTTCCTTTTATGAAATAACATGAAATAACTGTACATATTTTATAGCTAAAATTCACTAAGTTTATTTTTATACTGATTAAATGTTCTTATTCCCCATGTTTTTTATGTATATGATGTCCATGGGGACAGAGATTGTGTCTGGGATGTCCAATGTAATATCCATGGCCCCTAGCTCGTCTCCTGGCCCATGGCAGACACTCAAATGCAAGCTTAATGATGAGAGACATAGTTTTTTTTTTTTTTTTTTTGCTGTTGTTGTTGTTTTTTGTTAGATGGAGTCTTGCTCTGTTGCCAGGCTGGAGTGTGGTGGCACAATATTGGCTTATTGCAACTCTGCCTCCCAGGTTCAAGTGATTCTCCCTCCTCAGCCTCCCAAGTAGCTGGGACTACAGGTGCGTGCCACCACACCCAGCTAATTTTTTGTATTTTAGTAGAGATGAGGTTTCACCATGTTGGCCAGGATGGTCTCGATCTCCTGACCCCATGATCTGCCCACCTTGGTCTCCCAAAGTGCTGGGATTACAGGCGTGAGAAACTGTGCCTGGCCCAGAGACACGGTTTTTAGAAATGTTATAATACATAACACATAAAGTGTGTCAGTACAAATAAGTATTCATTAATAGTAATGAGCAGGACCCTTGACTTTGGTCAAAGATGTTTGTGACTATAAACAATTTTTTTTTAAAGCCAGGTGATTATTTAGTCATAAAAAGAATCAAATGTTGATATATTTTATAACATGGATGAACTTTTTAAACATTACGCTAAGTGAAAGAGGCCAGACACAAAAGGCTGTATGTTGTATGATTCTATTTATATGAAATATCCGGAATACACAAATCCAGAGACAAAGAGAAAAGTGGTTTCCAGGGGCTCAGGGGAATAGGGGGTGACTGCTTGGTGGGTATGGGGCTTGCTTTTGGAAGTGTTGAAAATGTTCGGAACTATACAATGGTGATGGTTTCACATGATGGAGTTCAAGACATACTACCCCAAAATACGGCATCTTGGAATATTGACTATTTTAAGCTGAAGGAATCTGAGGGATAGCATGTGCAGAAAGGACTTTCTTACCTTCCTTTGATGCAGGTCATAAGACACTCATGTGAGAGGTGCCCTCCCTATACGTGGAGGAAAAGAGCATCCTTATCTCCATAAATGAAGGGACACAGAGAATAATCTGAATGAACAGTCCTTGCTCAGTTTTCCCCAGTTTACTAATCTTAGCCCATACCTTTGGCCTATTACATTCTTCTAAGACTTCCTCATCAAATCTAGCATAAAAATACTGAGGTTTAACTGTTTCTTTGGAGCTTTATTTTTTTACGAAGGCTCCCACGTTACATAAAATTTATATGAAATTAATCTGTATGCTTTTCTCTTGTTAATCTGCCTTTTGTCACAGGGTCCCCAGCCAAGAATTCAGAAGGATAGAAGAAAAAGATATTTTTCCTCCACTACACACAACGTGAATGTACTAAATGTCACTGAGTTGTAAAGTTTAAAATGGTTAAAATGGTAAATTTTACATTACATGTATTTTATCCTAATAAAGAAGCTTGGTGATAATGCTAACCATCAGTTTAGCAGAGGGAAATCAGTGTAGACAATATCCATATAGAAAAGCAAACATTTTAAAATATCACCTGAAGCTATAACAAGATAACCTAATTCTAAATAAAGCACGGTTCCTCTGTATAAATCAAACTTGTGCTAGGAGAAAACTTGGCAAGGGAGAAAGTTGGATATTTCATGATTCTGAGCTAAGCAATACAAGTAGCATGGTTGTCTGGCACAAGATGGCTAAGTGTTTAGCATAGAATCACCAATACATAAAACAATCCCTAAAGACTAAGGACTTAGGAAGAAATAAGACAGAAAGGAAGACATGGATCAAACTAGTTTATAAAACATCTACAGTTGAAAACTTAATCAGGGGTATACAAGCAAGGGGAAGGAGAAGTAGATTAGACAGTGAATCTAGGGAAAAGTGAATGACTGTCCAGAATAATGCTGGCAGGGCTTTTCTTCAGCTAGCCAAGTGCGGAAATTCTTGTCTCCTTTCAAGCGAATAGTTAACTGTTCATTTGCTGGTAAATATACTGATTTAGCTACTGAATGTTCTGTAGTTGGTAGAAGCCAAAATGAGATATTACAAGAACCTGGTTTTCTTGAGACTGTGTGAAGAAGTTATGCACAGAAAAAGCTGAGGAACTTTAAGAGGCTTCTCAAATTATGCTGGAAGCAGTTGGGTTGGCTTCTCAACTCAGAGAAAAGTAAATTTCAAATAAATCCACTCAATTCCTTGGGTTAGGAAACACTTGTAGATACAAATGTTATGTAAATTAGAAACAGAACACATACAACCTGCTAAAAATGTTTCTTTGAAAACAGAAAAACAAATGGTAATCGCAACAATTTGACAAACATTTAGAACTATTCTCAACATCTGCTTCAAAGAGAGTTTTAGGGACTGAAAGTTAATTTTTCAGATTCCTCTGGCTTGAGAAAAATCAACTTATTAATGACAGTTATCTATCTATCATCTTGTCCATTTAGTTTGGGTAATACAAATCTGCATTTCAGACATGACCACAGAAATATTACCTTGACAGAGAGATGTATCAGATCAATTAACTCATCAATTCATTATTAAAAACTTATTATGTACAGGGATTAGAACTAGACACTGTACAAGAAAGAAAGAAGACATATGCAAACTGGGGGAGCTAAGACACCTACACATTAAAAATAATTAGCAAAAAAAGAATAGCAACAGAAGATGGTAAAATGTTTGTGTTGAATGACTTAAATAAATAATACTATTACAGGACTACAGGAGAGAGCAAGATTACCGTTAGTGGGTCAGGGGAAAAGGAAACTTGAGTGAAATTATAAAGGATTTACATAAGCAAAGATTACATAACATTATAGGCAAATAGAGAATGCTATGAGCAAAGGAATAAGACAGGAACAATAGGGAGACAGGAGACAACCTCTAACTCTGTAAAACAATTGACAATGTAAATAGAGAGGGAAGAGACATAAGGCAGGAATACAGAACATCTTCAAAACAAATGTGATTCTAAAAAATGACTCTGAATAATTCTACACACAGTCTAATTTTAGCTAAGTTGGTCATATAATATCCCTCTCAGGAATGGAAGAGGATAAGAATTGACTTAAGCCTTGAGAATATAAAGGTATTTAGCCATCTATTTGACACCTCTTTATTGAATTCCTACTATATACCAGGAACTTTGTGTTCTAGAAACTGGGGGTATGATGATGAAAACGAGAGACAAGATTTTATTCTCATGGATCCTACATTTTGGTGGAGGAAGACAAACAATAAACAAAGAAACGAATATATTTAAAAGGTGACAAGATGATATAGCACAAAATGTCATGAAGGAAGTTGAGTATTATGGTCCAGAGTGACTGATTGTTCTAGATCTATTTTAGATAGGGCAGTTAGAGAAGGCCTCTCAGGGGTAACATTTCAGTTGAGATCTGAATGATGAGAAAAAGCAGAAGTGGGAAAAGACAAAGATGATTCTAGGAAGGAGGAACAGAATGTAGAAAGACGTTTCTTCTAGGATTAAAAACATAAGACATTACTAATTATCTCGATAATGCTTATTTTCACTTGAAATGGAATAGAAACACAGAGAACCCTATTTAAATTCAGAAGTAAGGGGTATAACTTGCAATTACCTTATATCCCTCTGCTCCAGGCTCTCCTCTCTCTCCTTGTTCCCCCACTGGACCCTACAGAGACCACACACAAAACAGTTTTACAGCTGGATCAAAGTATATGTGAATGCAGGTGATAAGATTAATATGGTTTATTCTTTTGTCAAAAATAAAAAACCAAATATATGATTTGTTTAGTTCCATTAAATAATTTCAAAATATTGAATTTCAATGATACCAAGAACAACATAAAAATACACCAACCATTGAATTATATAAAGAAAAATCTCATAATGAATCTACTAGGAAAAATATTGAAAAATGCAGCCCAATTAAAAATATGAATATTTTCACCAAGTGTGGTGGCTCACAGCTATAGTCCAGCACTTTTGGAGGCTGAGGCAGGAGGATCCCTGGAGCCCAGGAGTTTGAGACCAGCCTGGGCAATAAAGTGAGACCCTGTCTCTACAAATAATTTGAAAATTAGCCAGGCATGGTGGTATGTGACTATAGTCCCAGCTACTGGGGAGGCTGAAGCAGAGGGATCACTTGAGCCCAGGAGGTCGAGGTTGCCGTGAGTCATGTCTGCACCACTGTTCTCCAGCCTGGGAAACAGAGTGAGACTCTGTCTCAAACAACAACAACAACAACAACAACAACAACAACAGCAACAGCAACAACAAAACAACAAAACGTTTCAATTAGTACAGTATGTTATAAATGATGCTGGAATAACTTACGTTTTTACTAAATTTTAAAATGACTGAAAAAGATTTAAGCAGGACAGTTCAGTACATAATGCCATTAATTACAAAAGATTATGTTTGAGTGATCTTTTAAAAGGTATTTATAAAGTAAATCCTACTTTACCATTCTTCATGAAAAAGTCTACTGTTAGCTGGGTGTGTTAGCTCATGCCTGTAATCCCAGCACTTTGGGAGGCTGAGGTAGGAGAATCGCTTGAGCTCAAGGGTTTGAGACCAGCCTAGGCAACAGAGTGAGACTCTGTCTCTAAAAAAAATTAAAAAATAATAAATAAAAATTAGCTGGCCCTGGTGGCATGAGCCTGCAGTCCCAGCTACTTGGGAGGTAGGAGGATCACTTAGCCCAGGTGTTCGAGGCTGCAGTGAACCAGCACTCCAGCCTGGGCAATAGAGGGAGATACAGTCTCAGAATAAAAGTCTATTGTTTAATCTGAAAAATTTTTAATTTAACCTAAAAAATACACTTATTAATTTTAATACTTAAGCCAAAAATTATCTAATAAACTCAGACTTACTTTTCCTGAACATTTCTAATAGAAAATCTTTAATATAATAAATCATCAAATTATCTACCATAAAATGAAATATCAGCACCCACCAGGACCTACCATCTGAACAAAAACTTAAATTGAAATTAATTGGAAAAACGTAGGATTTATTATAGAGCACTAATTGACAAATTTTAACTTATTCTTATGTGGACAAAGGTAAGAGACATAATGTCAATACTATAATCTCTGACTCTGCTTTAATTATTTAGAATCTTTGTGGTTTAAGTTTCATGCCTGTTCCATGTCTACTGGATAAAACTACTATTGCTATGCTAGACTTTTAATATATTTATTACATTTTAGGTGACATTCTTCGATCCTGGCATACCTAAATCTGGGAAAAACAACCGCTACTATACTCCCTTTGCCAAATTTTTTCCATTTGCTTTAAGATTTTTACATTATTTCCATATATTTCCCTCTCTTAGTGGTTTAGAGAGACTAAAATATTATTTGATAAAGAAACTTACATATTCTTTTAGATGTCTATATACCTATTGCCTCTATATGAGATGGCTTGATTTAATCAGAAAATATTAGAATCTTTCTTGTCCATTTCTAAAACAAAGTATAACTTTCAGCCATCTCCAAAGAATCAGGTCAAAATATCAGGAGTGACTACATATTCTGATCCTTGTGCCTTAGGATTCCTTTTCTCTATATAATACTATGTGAGAAATGGAAAATATAGCCAATTATATAATATTTGTTTCTATGAACTAATAATTTTCATTTAATTCATTTAATTTACATATGTTCTTTAGACATTGTTTTAGTCAAATATGAACATAGAGACAGTTATTCAGATAATCAAAGCTATAATAGCTACTTTTTAGAAACCATGGTTATAGTTAGTCCTTAAAATGTTTAATAAGAAGTCTACAGATCAGTAATCTTTAAAGGTTATTGGTTCTAATAACTCAGTAGAGGGGTTTTGAAATCACTTGGCAATAGTGTGTAAACTGTTATAAGAAGTACATAGATAAGATTTTTTTAATATTTAGAAATAAATCTGAATGTGATAATTAAAGAAATATGTACCCTAAAATGTCTAGAGTGTATAAGTTTTCTGATAATCTTTATAAAAGTTGCTATCATGCCTTCAATGCAGAAAGTTAGATTTGGGAAGTCACTATATGAACCCTATATATTATGCTAAAATATGACCTTCGTATTTTTCATATTAAAGATTTTAATATCATTTAAATTTTGTGACCATAAATATCACTGTCCTATTAAACCATGTGATAAAACTAACAAAAGAAAACTTTGAAGAGACGTAATTGGTGTTGTGAATCTATTATATAATTGTATTTTATCTTGAATAACCAGAATTATTTCAGAAAAAGACCTACTGGTTCACCTCGAGGCCCAGGTGGTCCTAGGACTGTGCTATCCTCTCCTGGGTAGCCCTAAAATGAAATAATGATTTATAAATAGAACTCAATAAATAAAATAAACTTCAAAAATACACAACCTATTACTTTTAAATATATTAGGAAATGCATTTGATTTTACCTTTTTTAAGTGGAAAACTTTGATGTAAGAAACTAGGCATATGGTATTTTATACAGAGTTGTAATTTGTACAGGATTCTTCTTGGAAGTATCAATCCCCTTTAATTATATAAGAAGCAGCTCAGAACTTTTCTTAAAAGTGTCAGGTTTCAATGATACCATAAATTAAGATTACTGCTGTAGTTATTCCTAAATCATCAAAAAATTTTAATCTTTAATATCAATGAGACAGGTGCGGTGGTATGCAACTGTCGTACCTGCTACTTGGGAGCCTGGGGTGAGAGGATTGCTTGATTGGTTTGAATCCAACCTGGGCAACAGTCAAGATCTCTTGATCCTGACTCCTGCCCCAAAGACTCTAATATAAATGTACTAAAATTAATCATTTAATCTAGAGCCTTACAATTTCTTTAAATAATTAATTTTACTCTTACAAAGCTCTACAAATATTTTCACATATATTATTTCAGCTCAATCTTGAAACAACCCGTGGAAGATATTTTAATAATTTATTTAAATTTTAGCTCCTTGATATTTATTTTTTTCTTCCGGAATTAGTAAAATTTTCAACTTTAAAAGTGCTTCCTTTATTCCTGGAAAATTTTTCCATGCAGTCTTTCAGGAATAATTCATGAACTCAACGTTTAACTTCAGGATTAAAAAGCCAATATATACACAAACCTTTTCTCCTTTAGGTCCTGGCAATCCAGAGAGTCCTGGTTGACCCTGATGGCCCTACAAAAGGACAAGTAGACATTTATACATGCTCTATCTAGGTATTAGATATTGTATTATTCTGAAATGAAAAATAGGATTCACTGTCTGGGAGGATGAGGCCTAAATATGTTAGAAAGGTTTATCAGAGAGATTTCATAGTAATTTGCATATTTGGGATATCATCTTTAATAAAAATGTTTTCATGTGAATATATTTTTTCAGTTATAAATACTTACCCTATACCCTGGAATTCCTGGTTCTCCATCAGGTCCCATTAATCCTAAATGTCCCTAAAAAACAAAGTAAATATTAGTGAGAGAGCGAAAGTAGAGAATTGTCTAAATCATTAGACTTGTACTCCTATTATTTAAATTGTTACCTTTAGATTTTTCACGGTTGAAATTTACCTAGTTTGAAGTAGGAAAGCCAAAAATAACACCCCAACTTTTGTCTATTTTTTTTTCTGAAACACAAAAAGTTCTGTAACAAATGTCTTTTTGGTTTACTTCTGATATAAACCATCCTTAATCATATTTAAAAAATACTTTCAGTTGTCAGAATCCTGCTGGTCCCTAAAACGAATTATTGGAAATGTGGTTTACATCTGTCAAAGTTTGTGCCAGATGTGGTCACTGAATATTAGAGAGTGCAACTTGAGAGTTTTTGACATTGTCACTACAGGATCCAGAACTCCATACTCATTTTTAGTTTCAGATGCTTTGATGAATATGGTTTTAGTCCTGGTCAAAGTTATTAAAAGAGAAATAGTTGACAACGTACATGTAATAGTTACTCTATGATTACTCTTATTATCAATATTTTGTAGATGGTGAAACCATCTATAAAGACTAATCAGCAAATGCCCTTAGCCTACTGAATAGATTGCTCAACTGAAAAAGCAAAAAACAAAACAAAACAAAACAAAAAACAAAAAAAACCCCAAAGAAAACCCCAGAAGAAGTCCTATATTTCATATTATCAAAAAGATTCCATATTGACTCTCCTATTTGACTCTCAAAACAAATAGAAGATGAGAAAATTAAGGCACAGAATAGGTATGTGACTTGCCAAATATCATACTAGAACTAAGTCTCTTGTTTCTGCATATATAGTATTTCCCATTTAATCATACTGCTTCACTGTATTTGATGATTTCTATAAAGTCCCAGCTCTAAAAAAGTTCACATTGCAACTATTAACCATTGATCAGTAAATTTAGACTCATTCAGTTAAGAACAAGTTTCAGTCTAAAAAAGGAACTGCACAAAATTAATTTTAAAACATTAATAAGAATTCAGCCATTACCTAGGTGAATAATCTAGAATAGAATGTAACTACTCACTATTCATTAGCTCAAGATGGCTGAATGACATATGCTTGTTTCAATAGTCCCATTCAACAAAAAAGAGAGAGAGAAAATAAAGGTATTTATTTGTAATAACAATACTGGAAAATAAGTAAACATCATCAGTGGACCAAAATTTTGTAATCTGAGATAGAAAATTAGGACTGAAAATATGCAAAGAAAAAAGTTGTTGCAGATGTCCAAATAGTCTCAAGGAAATTTCAAATGCCGAAATCAAGACATTGAAGGGGCAAGATAGGTTCAGGTGACTAACTGGGGAAAGGAGTCAGGTATTCCGATTCTACTTGTGCTGGGTAACTGATGGTAGCATTTGCCTAGAAGATAAGTGAATGAGTGTGGAAACTGTTGCGCAAAAAGCAGGCAATGCTAAAGACTGCTGCTGACTCCAAGTGACTCTAAAGCCAATATAACAAGAAATAAAATGTGCAGTTCGTAAAAGAAAAAATGAACCTTTATGTACCTAAAATATGTATGCAAAATATGTAACCTTCCAAAAATAAGCGGGTAGAAAACATGATAAGCAGACCTCAAACTCTGTTTTGAGAAATCAATGACTCAAATAGCAAGAAAAAAAAAGCAGTAAGAAAGCTATAAGGATTTAAGTAGCTTAGCTAACAACTTGATTTAACAGAAATACTTAGGACTGTTTATTAGCCCCAAAAAACAAAAAGAAAGAAAGAAAAGAAGAGAGAAAAAGGAATGCATAATCTTTTGACAAAACTTGAGTATATTAGGCCTCAAAGAAGATTTTAGTAAATTTCCTCAAAGCAGAAATCATATAGGTCACATCCTCTGGCTATAATGCAATGTAATTAAAAATGAGCAATAAAAATTAAAAATCTACTTAAAAAGAAAGATCCTTTAAGATAACTCTTATTTAGAAGAAAATAAAATCTGAAATTGCAAGCTATTCATAAGTAAATGATGGTAAAAACACAAACATAAAAATATGGGAATATGGCCAAAGTGGCACTCAAAAGGAGACAGTTAGCTTCATAATGTATTTATTAAATAAATTACATAAATGGGCCAGACATTTAATTCAAGAAGAGATTAATATTAAAGCATAAATTAGCGAATCAGAAAACCATTTTAAAAAGTTGAGTGAAAAACCAAGTAGACACTTTGAACTGACTAATAAAATAACAAAATATTTGGCAAATCTGATCACAGTAAAGAGCAGACACGATAAAACAACATTAGAAACAAGAAGGACATAACCACAGGAAAAACATTTAATTATAAGAAAATAGTAATTTCAAGTTTCACTTACTAAATATGAAAATCTAGATGAAATAAATAATTTTTAAGAAAAATTTCAAAAATTTATTTCAGAAGATACAAAATTTGAAAAGAAAGCCAAAGATCTACTGCTAATAAAATAACAATCAGCTCAGATTGTTTTAATAGCAAGTTTTATAAAACCTTTGAAGAACAGACACAATATCTATGTCCCATACTGTTACAGAGCACAGAAAAATACGAAAAATTTACCAACCCATTTTATATGACTTGTTTAACACTTATACCTAAATCCAATTAGTGATAGTAAACATTAAAAAAAAGATGGAATGAGGAACGATAGAATGAAGAAATAGGCCTACTTTGCTTACAAATACAAATGCAAAACTTTTAAGGTAAACTAAATTCAATAAGCTAAAATAAAACTCTTAAATAAAATGTTAAAAAATGAAATCCATTTGCATTAAAATAATAATATAATTATACTTAAGATTTATCCTAGGAACTCATGGTTGATTCAACTTTTGGAAATCTACTAATGAATTTTCTTATATTTACAAACAAAGGAGAGAAAGCATGGGATTAGCTAAACAAATACTGTAAAAGGATTTGATAAAATTCAACATCTACTCTTGGTCAAAACTCTCATTTAAGAACGAAAAGAAATTTCTTTAAACAAATAAATGGTATATCTAAAAAACAACTGTAAACAACACTTGACATTATAAGCATTAGAAGCATTTTCACTAAAGACAGGCCCAAAAGACAAGGTTTTCTTCATCATGACTTCTATTCACTGCTATAGTAGAAGTTCTAATCAATGTAGCAATTCAGACAAGCAAATAAGGGGAGGCAATATTATTTACTTAAAGAATCCCTACGAGAATCATCTACATTCGCTAAAGTGGATATAAGATCAAAATATAATGGCACCAACAGCACCACTAAGTTGATGTAACAGAAAAAGGATTATATTAACACTGAGAATAAAACTCAAAAGCAAAGCAAAACAAAAACAAAACAAGAAACAAAAATACTAAGAATAAACTTAACAAGAAAGATTAAAGAACAGAGATAAGGGAAATATTTTATTGATGAATATGTAAGCAGATATGAGTAAATAAAAAGACATAAGGTGTTTATAGAAAGATTCAGCATTGAAGGAAATAGAAAGTTCATATGAAAGAGGAGATCAAAACAAAACAAAACAGAAAAAAGAGGAGATCATAGCAAGAGCCAAACATTCTTATAAAATGAATTATGAAGTATTTGCCCTAACAGAAACTATCACAATAGTACAGTAAGTAAAATAGTGTGGTATTGACCCAGAAATAGACTACTAGATTCAGAGAATAAAGTAGAATAAGAACACACCAATGAATATTTGAGAATTCAGTTTATGGTAAGAGTAGCATTTCAAAAAAGCAGAAAACAGACTGACCACTCAATAAATGGAAGTGGAACAACTGTCTGTAAGTTTGGAAAAAATAAAATTAGTCTTCTACACCTTACATGAAAAAAACCCCACAAAAATCCATAAAAACCTCCATATGTCTTAAAGAGTTAAGGGTAAAAATAAAGTTATAAAAGTATTAGAAGAATATGGAAGAATATTCTTAGATCCTTTAGGTAGGGAAGGCATTTCTAGTAAAATAAAACACAGAAACTACAAGGGAAAAGACCGACAAGTTTGACCATATAAAAATTAAAATGATCTATACAGCAAAGGATATACAAAATTAAAAGATAAATTACAGAAAGGAAAACATTTGTAATATATTTTATAACATATTTAACAAAAATGTATTAATTTTTTAAGTATATAAGGAGTGATTGCAAATCAATAAGAAAAAGGCAACAATTCAATGTGCAGTATATATGAACAGGCAACTTCCATAAAGAAAAAAGTGCAACTGGGAAAGTGTAAATAGAAAGAAAAAATGCAATACACATTCTCACTTATCAGATTGGCAAACATCAAAAGAAGTGATATGAAATGTTGATGGTGGGAGTGTAAATTTGGTGAAACCTCTTGGGAAGGTAGGTTGGGAACACGTCAAATTTAAAAATTAATAACATTATAAAATGTTTTTGTACACAGGTCAAAGACAGAGAAATGCTAGTAATTTAAATAAAAGAAAGTAAGAAAGGCCTAGATCACAGTAAGGAATGGAATACCGAAATGAGCCTGAGGCAAACTTTCCTCAGACAACAAATTGATTATGCGATGATCTCTGAAAAGCCTTAGTGAAGTCTAGTACTTGTGACATTTAAATGGAGACTACACTAAATGGAAATACACATGCATTTTGTAAAAAAGCTTATGAAACAGAAGACTCAATTAGATAATCTTTTAAATATTTTGCATCTCTTTCATGCTGTGACTTTCAGAACAGGTCTAAATATATTTGCAATATAATTCAGCTAATATATGAGTTCATAAGTATCATGCTATACTTGTTCCTAATATCATGCAAAGTTCCTGAGAAAGATTGAAGATAAAATTAGATGATAGATTTATCACAATTGGTTAGAAAAATAATATCCAGATAAAGCAGGTTTGTTTCCAACCAGAGAAAGAAAATCCATTTCAAGTAAACCTGATTTTCAAAGCAATTTGTCAATCATGACAGCATAGTTTTATACAGATACTAAATCCCAATTTTAAGTGCTGGCCATATAAAATTTCCTACTTTGGTTAGGAGTTATAATCTTATTTTTTAAAACCTCATTTCATATTTTATTTCCATTTTCATTTTTTTTTCTCTTTCCTTTTTCATGTCCAGAAACCACTAAGCCATTTAAGTACTGTGGAATGCTTACAATTCTCCACATCCCATGGAGGTAGATTATTTTCAATGGAACTATTGCCTTCTCTGTAAAGCTAATCAAGGGATGAAACTTTAAGGGCATGGATACATTTCTTTCCCATCCACAGTGACTCACTTCTGGAAGTAAATCAAATACTGACCACAGCACCTCTAGTTCCTCTGGCACCCTTAGGACCACTTTTCCCAATTTTTCCAGGAGAACCTCTGCTTCCAACTTCTCCTGTGGGTCCTATTTGTCCTTTATCACCCTGTGGAAGACATTATTAAGAGAGAAACATAAGAAAAAAATTTATACTTAGATTAATTAACTATATCATATTCCTGAATAGCTCCTGAGGAATATTTAGTTAACAGTATTACAGACCACCACTAACAATAATAACATGCCATCACCACATAAGTTATTTTAAAAAATAAAAGTAATTTTGGAAAAAGATAAAAAAAATTTTTGACCAAACAAGCAGGGGGTATCTGGTGCTCATGCTGAATTCCAAATAACCATTTTTTTTTAACTTTTGAATTTTGCTATATACGTATGTAAATATGCATGTATGTATTGTTACTATAAGAAATAATAAGGTCTTTGAAAAGTCTGTTTCTATAGAGAATTTCAATGCAAAAAGGTCTGTTCAATACAAAAAGAGCTCCAGTGTGCAGTTCTGTACATTCAGGATCATCACTCATTGGCCTGGAGGGCACCTTGAAAAATCTGTAAGATTTTTACATCATTTTACATCTTTCTGAAAACTAACTGTCTTCTGCTTTCTATTAGACAAACTGACCTTTCTTTTTTGTTGTTGTTTTTTTTTGAGACTCAGTCTCACTCTATCACCTAAGCTGGAGTGCAGTGGTGTGATCTCGGCTCACTGCAACCTCTGCCCCCCAAGTTCAAGCAATTCTCCTGCCTCAGCCTCCCAAGTAGCTGGGATTACAGGCTCCCGCCACCACGCCTGGCTAATTTTTCTGTATTTTTAGTAGAGACAGGGTTTCACCATGTTGGCCAGGCTGGTTTCGATCTCCTGACCTCAAGTGATCCTTCCACCTTGGCTTCCCAAAGTGCTGGGATTACAGGTGTGAGCCACCACACCCCGCTGACAAACTGACCTTTCTTTAGCACCAAAATACAGCTGCTCTTAAACAACACTGTGTTATTTTTCATTTCTTAAGTGAGAACCAACCTGTTCTATTACTAATAAGCAAGAAGACACAAAGAAAAACTACTGTGAACACAGCTGGATAGGAAATTTTTGGGATTTATAACAGTTAAGAGGCTTTATTTTATTTTTCCAGTGGTGCAGGTTGTTATTATACAAAGACTTGCGCTGTCTCACTATTAATGTTGATTTTAGACATAACACTCTATATGATGAAAAAAACTTCAATATTGAAATTATTTTTAATAGATAAGAATGGCAATTAAACATTACCTCATTAGTTTCTCTTCATTATTTATTATCCCTATCTACTGTCTAAAAATTCTGAGAAAGACTGACTAGGTATATATCAGCAGAAATGCTAGAATTGGATTCTGAAAATCAAAATATGTGTGACTTGAAGTTAATTACAATAAATAATTCAAAACTGTCATAGTCCAAAGGGAAAACCATTTTTATGTTTCATCAATATTTGAATAGACTATGGATTCTACATTTATATAAATACAAATTTTCATTATAATGTATTAAAATTTTATAAATACAACCAATTATTAGTAAAAAATAAAGTAAGCAAATAAAAATATTCTTGATTTGAAGTTCTTAATATTTGGAAAAAATAAAATCAACTTAGAAAAACACATTAACAACAAATAATTATAGTTACATTCTTTTCCCTCAAATACTTTACTAAAATTATTATTGAATAGCACAAATGGTATAGTATTTTCCTTTTATCTTTCTTCTTGCCCATGGTCTACTAAAAGAATTTCTGGAAAACAAGAGAAAGAAAGAAAAGCCAAGATTTTCTACAAACTACAAAATGGAAAATTTGCCTTCAAATAATCAAGATAATAAGTACTCCTAACTGAAATTAAATATTAATTTATATAAATGTATCTTTTAAAGCAACATGTATAATTATTTACCACTTTACTATCTAGTCCAAATAAAAACATTACAGCAGTCTATGGAGCTCTGGATACATCAGAAGAAAGAAAACCTGCATAAGAAAATGTAAAAAATTACCTTTTTTCCTGGACGACCTCTTTGCCCTGGAATTCCCACAATTCCTTCAGGTCCCTAAAATATTCAATATAAAAAAGGAAATAAATGATTAAAGAAAAGATGAGATGGAGTATTTCAATACTTCTATCAGATAATCACTGGATTGGATTGGACAAGAAGTAAAAATGAGGGCTACTTTTCACATTATTAGGTTTGCATCATTTAAAAAGAGGTCACAATGACTTAGAGGCACAGCTGTTATTAGCTATAAAGTTCACATGCACAAACTGGCCAAGACAGTCGTAATTACACTGTTCATTATTCTAGGTGGAACCTTACTTAGATTCAGTATACCCATTTTAATTACAGAGAATGTAATTAAAGTTAACCCATGCCTTCTATGTCACAGGTTGTAAAAAATGTTTAACAAAAATAAACAAGTATAAACCCCAATGCATCAATTTCAGCATTTCTATCAGCTACTGGGAGCTCAGCATCTTGTGGAAAGTACAGAACTCCTGCCTATCCAATGAAGTCTCCACACACATACAAAAGGAAGTACAGAGTATAAAATACATGTAGTACATGGTCAAGGAAAATTTCAAGGTATCTAATACGTGGTCAAGGAACATCTCAAAATCTCACTGGAGTAGAAAGAGTTAAAGAGATATTCTTCGATCTGTGGGGAAAAAAAGAAGGAAATACAGAGAGAAAAAGGAGGTAATCACATAAAACTTAAAAATAATATTTTCATTTCCATTTGTCCTTTGTTTAGCTAGAAGTAGATTAAAATTTTTCAAGATACTTTTTTTTTTTTTTTTTTAGTGAAGGTGGGGTACCATGTGAATTTTCAGGTAAACAATGGTTAGGCTTAAGTGAGTTCCACAGTAAGCCAGGTCGCAAGTTCTAAAATGGCTAATAATTAATCACAACATTCCCTGCCTTCGCTGGAAATCAAAATGGAAATCTCAAATTTGTGTCCCAAAAGCTTGGCAAACTGCAAAAATGATGTAGACAAGAAATAACTTGTGGTTTACCACTGTGCTATGTAGGCTCTAGATAAATATTTGTTGAACGAATAAACAGATACCTAAGGAAATGACTCATACCCTGTGCTCCTGAGCAAATGCTCTTCTAGCTTCAGAAAATCACTGAATTTAGAGGCCAAAGCTGTTGTGCTCTATTGCTGTAGTTATAGCTGCATCCAGAGGTAGAAATGGTAGTTGCACTAGCATGAAGAATTCTTTGAAGTTAATGAGGTCTTTCAAAAAGAGGCTGATTAATCTTCACAGAGATTAAAGGTATGAGCTTTTAAAAGTCAGACTGCTCCCATTTCATATTCTGGCTCTGGCACCTAACACCTATATGGCCATAGGTAGATTATTTAATTTCTTAAGGCCTCAGATTCCTGTTAAAGAGGTATAAAAGAATCTCTTCAAAGACTAAGAGCAAATGAGAGAATGCATGTAAAGTTTAGAAAGTTTAGAAAAACTAGACTTATAATGAAGAGCTCAAAATATGTTAGTAGTTATTAACCTCTGCTGTTTATTAGAAGTGTCTTACACAATATTTAAGTACACGTAAAGATGCTAAAGGGTACAATGAAAGCCCATTTACCTACCACCTACTTTAAGAGATAGAACCAATATATGTGTATGTATATGCGTGTGTGTGTATATATATCTCTACATATATATATCTACATATATATACACACACACATATAATTGAAGCCCCACATCAAACACATAATTTCCAAACTCATCACCCTTTTTCCCTACTCAGGTGCAGCCAATGTCTTGAATTTTATTGTTCCCGTACATTTCTTAATAATTTTACTCCATTTGTATCTCCAAACAATATGTAGTTATTTTACATCTTTAAAAATTTAAAAAAAGCAGTATCATACTTTATGTGTTCTCCTGAAACTTCTTTTTAACACATTTTTGTTTTGAAATTACTGTGTCTTTAATTCATTTACTTAAAAAAAAACTGCTACAGAATTCCATGTTATTATCAAACCACAACTTAAGTATTTTTCCCCATTGGCTAAAGTTTTGGTGGTTTTCTTTTGCTATTACAGACAATGCTGGAATAAACACCCTGTACATGTCTCTATGTGCTCATGTCAAGAGTTTTTATAGGGTACGTACCCTGGAATTGAACTGCTGGGTTTTAGGATATATGCATCTTCAAGCATACCAGATATTTGCCAAACTGTTCTCCAAAGTGATTTTGCCAATTTACATCCTCAAAGGCAATGTTTAAAAGTTCCACTTACTCCACATTTCCTGTAATGCTTGATTGTATGAGACTTAAAATGGGTGCAGAATAATATTACCATTTCAATTTATGTTATTGGTTATTATGGAAAAATGAATAGCTACTCGTAAAGTTATTGGACATCTATATCTATATGTGAATTTCTGGTTCCTATCTTGTGCCCATTAAGGCTGTCCTTATTGAGTTACATGTATATGTTTTTATACATACTTGTATTTTTTCATTCTATATATCACAAATCTCTTCTCCCAGCCTGTATCTTACTTTCTCACCTTGTTTATTATGACTTTGGGCTAACAGAAGTTTGCAATTTTAATGCAGTCAAAGTTATTAATATTTTCTTTCTGTTTCTTTTAGTGTTTTGTCTTAAGAACTCTTTACTGCTTGCCCTTTCCTTATAAGGTCATAAAATATTATCTTAAATGTTCTCCCAAGAGTTTTAAGATTTTGATTTTAACAGTTAAGCCTTTAATCAAATTGGAACTTAATTTTGCAGGATATGTGTTTGTGTGTGTTCGTGCACGTGTGCATTTGTGTGAGGGAGAGTATTTTTTTTTTTCCATTTGGATAACCAATTGTACTAGTAACATTTATTAAATAGTTCATTTCCTTATAGATCTGCAGTGCATAATCAATTTGTCAAAAATCAAGTTTCAAAATATACTTATATCTGATTCTATGTTATCTTCAGTTTCCATTGGTCTGTTTGTTTATTTGTGAATGAGTATGACACTAATTTAATTACTCTAGCTTCAATAATAAGTTATATTAGATGGGTCAAGTTCTCTCTTCCACCTCCCCCACAACCATCCCACCTCTGCACAACTTATCCTTTAAAGTTGTCTTAATGTTGGCCCTTTGGTTTTCCACACAAATCTTAAAATCACTTTTTATCAATCAAGTTTTGTTAAAAATCCCATCAGGATTTTGACTGAAATTGTATTAAATGTATTGACTAATTTAGAAGATTGATAATTTGATAACATTGAGTTTTCCTATCGTGAATATAAAATACCTGTCAATTTATTTAGTTCTTTAATAAACGATTATAATTTCTTTAATTGTAAAAATTTTCCACACCATTTTTATAAATATTTTGTTTAGATGTATTGCTAGATACTTAATTTTGTGGCTAATTGTGTTGGAAATTGCATTTTAAAATATCTAACTGCTCGTTGCTGGTGAAAAAGAATGGAACCTATTTTTGTATATCACTTTTATTTATGTATTTAGAGACACTGTCTTGCTATGATGCCCAGGCGGGACTTGAACTCCTAGGAACAAGCAATTCACTCACCTCAGCCTCTCGAGTTACTGGAAGTACAGATGCATGCCACAGTAACCACAGTTATTATGTTTTTTTTTTTTTCTGTCTAACTTTTATTTTAGGTTCAAGGGGCACATTTGCAGGTTTGTTATGTGGGTAAATTATGTGTTACATGGATTTGGTATACAGATAATTTTGTTACCTAGGTAATCAGCACAATACCCGATAAGCAGTTTTTCAATCCTCACCCTCCTCCCACCCTTCACTCTCAAGCAGGCTCTGATGTTAATTGCTCCCTTCTTTGTGTCCATGTGTACTCAAGGTTTAGCTCCAACTTATGGAGAACATGTGGTATTTGGTTTTCTGTTCCCACATTAATTTGCTTAGGATAATGGCCTCTAGCTGCATCCATGTTGCTGTTAAGGACATGATCTTGTTCTTTTTCTGTGGCTGCATAGGATTCCATGATGTATACATACCACATTTTTTTTTAAGCCAGTCCACTGTTGATGGAGATCTAGGTTGATTCCACGTCTTTGCTATTGTGAATGGCACTGCTCTGAAGATAAATGTGCATGCATCTTTATGGTAGAACAGTTTATATTCCTTTGGGTATATACGCAGTAATGGGATTGCTGGGTCGAATGGTAGTTCTTTTTAAGTTCTTTGAGAAATCTCCAGACTATTTTCCACAGTAGCTGAGCTAATTTACATTCCCACTAGCTGTGTATAAGTGTTCGCTTTTCTCTGAAACTTCACCAGCATCTGTTATTTTTTGACTTTTTAATAACAGCCATTCTGACTGGTATAAGATGGTATCTCATTGTGGTTTTGATTTGCATTTCCCTAATGATTAGTGACGTTGAACATTTTTTCATATACTTGATGGCCACATGTATGTCTTTTTTGAGAAGTGTATGTTCAAGTCCTTTACCCATTTTTAATGGGGTTGTTCATTTTTTGCTTATTAAGTTCTTTACAGATTCTGGATATTAGACCTTTGTTGGATGCATAATTTGCAAATATTTTCTCCTGTCCTTAGGTTGCCTGTTTACTCTTTTGACAGTTTCTTTTGCTGTGCAGAAACTCTTTAGTTTAATTAGGTTCACCTGTCAAGTTTTGTTTTTGATGCAATTGCTTTTGGAATCTTTGTCATGAAGTCTTTGCAAGGGCTGATGTCCAGAATACTATTCCCTAGGTACTCTTCTAAGGTTTTTATAGTTTTGGGTTTTACATTTCAGTATTTAATCCATCTTAAATTGATTTTTGCATATGGTAAAAGGTAGGGGTCCAGTTTCAATCTTCTGCATACGCCTAGCCAGTTATCCCAGCACCATCTACTGAATAGGGTAAACTTTCCCCATTGCTTGTTATTATCAGCTTTGTCAAAGATCAGATAGTTGTAGTTGTGTGGCTTTATTTCTGGGTTCTCTAATCTGTTTCATTGGTCTGTGTAACTGTTTTTGTACCAGCACAATGTTGTTTTAGTTACTTGTAGTATAGTTTGAAGTCAGGTAGTAGGATG